AGTGGAAGGATAACCCTTTTTCCAATGCAGAGACATGAAAGATTCATTTTCTGCTCTGCTCTGTCAAGCCATATAGCAGATTTATTTAATGCATTATGTGCATTGCAATAGATTTCAGAACACACAAAGAGGGTTACAAGCTATGTGGAAATTTAAGGTAGAAAATTTGAGGCTCCTGTGAAGCCACTGGCAAAACTTAACAAAGGATTTCACTCTCGATCTTTCTCTTAAGTTGCTGTAAAGATTTTCATCTAGTAATTGTGCCTGCGGGCTGACTGGGGCTCAGGCTGCAAACACCACTTCTGCTCTCACAGGGAAAAGTTTCAGAAGTTAAGCTACTCCCAGCACCATGCATCAACCCACTGGTGTCCTTACAGCAAATTATCTTTTGGCCCTCACAAATACGAGCCAGTAAAAGTTCTGTGAGGCGACGACACGCTTTTTGGCTCTCTAGTGAGATACTGTTTTGGTTTTTCTTTTGTGGGTAGCATTATTTAAAATCCTTCAATGCAGAACTGTTTTTCCAGCAGCCAGCAGTGACAAGGCATAAAGCTGAGCCATATGGATTTTTGCTGGATCTAAAAACAACTGTCCTAAAACAGTCACACAGGCTGCAGCACCCAGACCAGAGCTCTTGGCTTGCACCACACCCAAGGCAAGAACTACAGCTTCAAAAGAGCACTCCCTCTGAGCTCCATGGTCTGGAGGCCCAAAAAGAACCTTTGAAGTGATGCAGGCACAAGAAGCAGAGAGACTCAGTGAGCAACTGGAGGATCTGCCAAGTCAGAGCTGGTGGGGTGAGGCGAGGGCACCTTGGCTGTAGGGGAGAGGACAAGAGGTGGTGGACATGGGTGCATGCAATGGAGAAATGAAGCAAATACAATCATGGAAAAAAAAAAAAAGGGTAGTAAGAAGACATTATACCAGCCTGTCTCTTTTGTAGGTTGATATGCAGGTTGCTCTCTGCACAGCAAATCCCAGTCAACCCACCTTATACTTTGAAAAAGGACACTCACTAGTGTCTGGCCTGAACAGCTTTTTTCCATAATGTTTCCACAAGCCTCTAGGACTGGTGAAGTCATGTTGCTCTTAACAGCTTGTTTGTTTGAGGTTTTTTGAGAAAGAAAGGTTAACGTAGAAAAGCTGTGAAAGTCTGAAGTACAAATAGTTTCTGTTTGCTTTTAATCCAGATCTTGTTGTACAAATGGATTAAGATCAATTTGCCAAAAGGGTAGAGGCACCTCGTTAGAAGCTGTTAGTGATCCTGACCCGGGCCAAGGTGGAAGAAGTGCCTGTCCACCTCGGTGCTCAGGACTGGTACATGGTGCCAGGGAAAAGCAGAAGAGATGACAGTGAGAGCCAAAGAGTGGACTGTTCAAAGCAGAGCCATGGGAGACGAAAGCCCCAGCAGCCCAGATCCGAGGATGGGACTTCTGCATCGAAGGATAGACTAAAAAACCTGTTTTGTCCTTAGCAAAGGGATTACTGTCATCTAAAATCTTTCAGTTCAATACAGTTGGGTGTTTCACCACCCTGTACTGAAATATGCACATCACGAGACTATTTTCATAGCTAGAACCACAAGAACAGATATTTCTCTGCATACACTGAGGACTCAGAACTTCCACTCAGATACCACCAAAGAAATGGAATGAGCACGTGGTCCTGCACCAGATCTTAGCTCTGAGAAGGGATCCAACCAGAGATGCTTTTATCTGTAACAAATGGGCCAAAACAACCAAGAAACAGTCAGATAACCCCTGATTACAGGGAATTATTTAAAGAAGACAAAACAAAGGAAAGGAGACAAAGTAATGAAAGAAGGTGGCAAACTTGAAGCACAGTGCTATGCTGCAAATAAGCTAAGAGTTCTCAAATGGGAAATTGAAAAAAAACCCAACAAACAAGTGTTTGTATCCATCCTTACAGGACAGTAGAAGAAAGTGTTTGCCTGTGTGGGAAATTCAATCAACAGGGACAGAAACCATTGAATTCAGTGTTCAGCATTTCATAATTTCAGTTACTTAAAAGGTGTCAGGGCAGAGCACACTGCACTGAGGAGAAGCTGAGGAAGCCTGAGCTGGCATTATCAAGAGCTGACTTAACTCAGGACATGCCCCTACAGATGAGAAAGCAGCAGTGAAAGGCACCAGTAATACACCAGGAGATCAGGGACTAGACAGCTGCCGGTGGTGGGGGATCCAGAGGTGCAACATCTGCTGCAGCAAAGTGCTGCTGGGTCAGGGGGAACCCCTCACCCACCGACCCTGGAGACCCATGTGTCCCACTGATCCTGAGAATCTCTGCAGCCCCACTGATGCTGAGGATCCCTGCGGTCTGACTGATCCTGGGGATCTCTGCAGCCCTATTGATCCTGGGGATCTGTGCAGCCCCACTGATGCTGGGGATCCCTGCCGTCCATCTGATCCTGGGGATCCCTGTGGTCCCACTGGTCCTGAGGATTTCTGCAGCCCCATCAACCCTGGGGAACCCTGCAGCCCCACTGATCCTGGGTATTCCTGCAGCCCTACCAATCCTGGGGTCCCCTGTGGTCCCACCAATCCTGAGGATCCCTGCAGCCCATTGATCCCGGGGATCCTTGCAAGCCCCACTGATCCCGGGGATCCTAGGGGTGCTGCTGGGGGGCAGGCAGGGTGGGGCAGAGCGGGGAGTATGGCGCTTTTTGGGGATCCCTTGCCGCCCGCCCGATGGCGCTCCGCAGAGCCCCAGTGCTTGGGAGGAGGGTCCCCGGGTCGGGCTGGGGGCTGTAGGATGGTGTCACCCACCACCCAGCCAGGAACACACACTTTGAACTCTCCCTGCTACAAATTCCCTGAATTCCTCCCAAATCGCTCAGACCTGGTTACTGCAAAGCCTCAAAGTCAAATCACCTCATAATGAATTGTAATTAGTTCAAAATGGATTAGAAGAGAATCTGAATTGCACTTAGGAGTTTGACTGTCCTAATGTCTCCTGCTAATTAATGGAACTGTTTGAATAAGTGATTTTTATGGACTGTTTCATTTTGCATTGATCCAGAACATTTTATGGAGTTAACACTATTCAATAAAAAATGGCAGACAGACATTTCTTGTCAACAAGATTTAACCAGTTTGTATAAAGATGAAGCATTTAATTTTTCTTTTTAGGTTTATATGATAAGCAGAATTATATTTTAAAAACTTGGAATGTGAATTAGAATTTTAAAAGAACTAGGAAGAATAGAAAAAACAAAAAGAAAATGTCAAAGTGAAGCTTTTGAGGGCCTCTGATGTGAGTTCAGTCTTTCTTAGGCCAGAAGAGGTTTAATAAGTGGCACGGTTTTTGAAAGCAGTCAATCCAAAGTGCATTTAAAATTCTCTTCAACACGGAAGTTTTATGTAGCTCTGTTATAGTAACATTGCAGAATGTGGCTCCTATTAATAATATAGGTGGATTAAGCCTCTGAACAGTCAATACACACAGACGAATACAGCCTGGCAGCAACACCCCCCGCAGCCCCCCGCACACCGGCACTGCACTGACGCCAGCAGATGGAGCAGGGGGCAGGTCTGGGCAGTGCTTCACGGCAGCCACTGTCATCTGCTCATAGCAGCTTCAGCACGAGCAGATGGATGCATTCCTACAGTGGAGTAGACAAATAAAGCAAAGTGTGCTAAAATTTGTGGTCAGAGTGTGTAGCAGAATTTGTGCCAACGTTGCTAACCCAGGGCACGTAAATCCCAGAAGACTGGTTTGAAGTGGTGTGGTTTGTAGACTGCCTTTTTCAGACTAAACTAAAAAATTTGCAGTCTGTTTTGCATTAGTGATTTGATTTTCTTCTTTGGTCTGCAAGGATATTTCTTCTTTTGTAACCACAAATAGAGTTATTCTTTTGGTTAAAAAATGGCTTCAAGAGCGGGTACTCATTTTTGAAAGTACCCTTTTGAACCCAAAGTTCTTAGGCACTGAGAGAGAACTCAAGACATTATTTTATATGTGCCTGGCTCTCAAATTTGTCACCATGGGCTACTACCAGAGGCAGGGCACAGAGTTCAGCGGGGCTAGGGCTGGAGCCCGGGTCTGGTTTTGTGTGTGCATGCTGTCTCCTCCTTACACCCCGAACCTCACAAACCTCCTGTTTCTAAAGCCATTAACACACATCTGAAGTCCCTCCCTTCATAGGTTTCCCTTGCAGAGCTGTCAGGGCAGGAGCAGGGAACAGGACCTCTCTGGTGGGTGCCATGCTCTTCCCCTGGAGGTGCCAACAACAATGCCCAGAAAACTGCTGTGGCCTCGTATTTCTCCAGTTTCACACCAGAACCCTGAACTGGGCACAGTCTCGCAATCAGATAACTTCTTCACTCAGCAAAGGGGAAAAAAGAGCTCCTTTTAACAAAAGGATGATTGTCTTCCATAACAAATCTGTCACTGCACCTATCTGTGTCAATAGGAAATGAGAACTTGCAGCAAGATGCAGGAAAATGTTATTTATTATACCACCACAACTCTATGGGACTGGTCACTTCAGAGATAAGCAAAATGAACATCCTGTATTTTGTTGGGTAAGATAAGTTGTTAAACTAGTGCAAGATGAGAAGGTGTATGCCTGACACTGAAGAAAAACCCCTTCTGAAACTCCATCCTACTTCTAAATTATCTTTTCTGAAGCAGCTTTCACCTCGGGGTGCTTGTGCATACGAAGGAGCTGCTGCCAGGCAAATCACTGCAGCCAAAGAGGGCAGCAGCTCTGCAGCACTGACTTTCCCTGCCTGGCTGCTCCTCCTTAAATACAACTGTGGGTGATTTTGGTTAGGCCTCTTCCAAAGCAGAAGTGAGTGTAGAGTGGTCAGTCTGAGCGATTTCTGATGTAGACATGACACAAAAAATTCTGCTCAGCAGAGAAGATGTTTCTGCTTCTAACAAAAGGCGAACACTGGTGAGCCAGAGGCAAGGAATACTGGTTTCTAGCAGTAGCATTGTCCAATGACAATTAATGTTCAGAATAAAGATGGACTTACCTGTTCAAATCACGGTGTATGATTGGCTGTGTGAGGTTGTGGAGGTACTCCATGCCTTTGGCAACGTCCACAGCAATGATTAATTTTGACTGCAGGTCAAGAGTTCTGGATTTTGAAGGAAACAAAAAATTACTCAAAGTTAATAAACAGACAAAAATCATCTATAGACTATTCTTATCTGTAAGTGATGGAACCTTTAAAATAGTTTTAAATATAAAATAACGTCATGTAAATGTATATAATGTAATGCAAATGTAAATAATGCAAAATAACCACAGAATCCCAGAATGGCAGGTGTTGGAAGCAACATCTGGAGATCATCTTGTCCAACCCCCTGCTCCAGCAGCTCACCCACAGCAGGGTGCCCAGGATGGTGCCCAGGGGGGTTTGGAATCTCTACAGAGCAGAAGACTCCACAGCCTCTGTTCCTCTTGCTCAGGTGGAACCTCCTGGATGCCAGTTTGTGCCCATTGCCCCTTGTCCTGTTTCTGGGCTCCAAGGACAAGAGTCTGGCCCCAGCCTCTTGATCCCCACCCTTTAGCTGTTGATGAGCATTGATCAGATCCTGACAGTAACAATTGTGTGACTACTTATTAATTTCCCTTGTACATGCAATAACATGAATCGAAGCTACTTTTTTTTTTTTTAGTGTGTTCCTTTCTCTACAGTTTCTTACTGAAAGGAGTAACATTTACATCAGCACAGATTGACCAGACTTCTGAACTCCACACCACGAGCCCAAGGAGGGAGTGAGTGAGATACCTCTTCTGTTCGTGGAGCAGGGAGAAGAGCGACCCTCCCGAAATGTACTGAGTGACGATGGCAAACTGGCTGGGGTCGTCTAGGCAAGCTCCCACAAACTGGATGACACACGGGTGATTCAGTCGGCAGAGAATGGAAACCTCGCGGCAGAACATGTCCACATCAGACTTGGAGCAGTAGGTATTGGCCCGATAGCTTAGAATTCACACCAGAGAAAACAGCAAGGAAAAATATAATAAAATATGTATTATTTTAATGCTTCAAACTAGGTCATTAACCGAACAAGATGGAAAAGTCTGATAAACTTACCGTTTGATTGCAACAATTTTATTTCTGCATCGTCCCTTGTATACTTTTCCAAAAGACCCTAAAATGGTTTGAAATCAATGAGCACAAAGAGACTTCTTGTGAACATGAGGCGCCTCAAGCGGCTGCGACCCTTCCGGTACCTGAGCCGATGATCTCATGGAACTCTATCTCGGAGAGCTGCAGGTGGAAATGCGACGGCAAACCCGCCCGGAGGAGGAGGACATCCGCCTTTTCTGCAACAAAACCACTTGGCTGTTTGCACAGCATGGGCCACGGGGTTTTTAGCAGTGTCAGCTATAAGCCCTTAGCTGCCCAGAGGGGCTGTGCAGTGGAGCCGAGCTCCCTGGGCGCTGGTGCACGGCCAGTGCCGCGGAGCGGGGGCAGATGTCCCGTCCCTTGCTGTTCCTAAAGCAGGGCGTGCCGTGCCAGAGCCCACCTGCTCCTCAGTGACAACTGGAATCTAAATTCTGCACCTTAATTTAGTTACCAAACATCTCTACCTGCTTGATCTTTTCAGTTTATTACCATAAAGTTTATCCAAATATTTCTAAATGGAACGTTTCAAACCTGCTGTATAGAGGATGCAAGGATTTGATTTTATCCAGAGTGAGTGTTTGAAGTGGAAAACTGAAAGCACCAAAATAACAGAGAAAAATTTTAAAGCACAACTATTCATCTGACTGGTTTATCTCTATGTGTTTCAGATTAACACAAATCGGTTTTGGACAGGATTTTTCTTTTTAAGATAATCCAGGCGTTTTACAGTGGAATTCAACATGATATCTGTTTGCATTCATGGATGTGTCTGTATTTCATTAGTACTAATTCACAACCACATCCTTTGTTTTATATAAAAATAAATATGTACTTTTCAAGTAAATGAAAATAAGATAAATATAGGAATTATCATGATGCTAAGCAACCAAGCTAAGTATATTGTTTCCTAAAATTATCCTAGGGAAATACAGCTACTGCTTGTGCACATCATTGCATTTCTGAGCAATGAAAATTCCAGGAATAATGAATCCTATGAACTATGTTTAGGCTGACAAACACCTTGGGTACAAAGACCATAAATGTTCAGGTTTTCCCTTGCCCTTGGTGGTACCTTTAGTCATGCTTTTAATCTTTCCTAGAGGGGATGGAACAGACACATAGGAGCCATCTGAAAGAGAAGAACAGAATGAATTTTGTGGAATTCAGACAGTTTGAGCATCTGTACACGTGTGAGTGTGCCGTTATGTTGCTGTGCTCTTGCAAGTGCTTTGTACACAGCTCCACCAACCACTGCAGAAGGACACTGACTTTTGCTGGTGTTACTGGCAGCCAGTGGAGCCCCGTACAGCAGCTGGATTCTGTGGAGGAGCTCGGATCAGACCCACAAATTCTGGCAGCTGAATGTACCACACTGCTCAGTTCAAAGACCAGAACTTCCAGAACACCTCAGCTTTCTCCATGCATCCAAAATTCCATCTCTTGTTCCACTGCTTAAGTGGGAGCCGAGCTCCTTGAACAGCCCACGTTCAAACATCTGTCTGAGCGTGTTAATTACTTGCCCAGCTCCATTTTGAACACATGCATAAACACATTCCCCTAAAGAGGTGTGTACGTGTAAGGTACACTGCAGCTAACCCTGGGGTGGGTCACACCACGTGGGGAGCAGAGTGGTCCTGCTGCTGGCCACAGGGTTCCTCCTGGTCCCGTGGCACGGAGCCCATGGCCTGGAGAAGCCCCAGCATGGACACACTGTCCCTCCTGTGGCAGGGTTCTCAACACACTGCACAACACTCTGCTTGTCTGACCGCTGGCGTCAGCGCTCCTCCTGGCACCTGTCGTTTAGTTGCTAATAATAGTGAGTATTTTTGTAGCAAAAGGGGTAATTGGTTCTTCCCCAGGGGAAATATATATCCAAAGATATTAAAAAAGATGAAGCAGACTGAGGATAGAAATAGACCAAATGTCAGCAATCAAGGAAACATCAGAGCTAAATGACACAAAGAGAATGGCTAAATGAGGCATTAAGGATGCACAAAGGTGTGAGTAATGATTACTAGGGATTGATCCTCATCTCACAGCTTTTACCTTTCCTTTCTTCTGAGTCATATGAAGTGACTGTTTTGAGATGAAGGAAGACTCGTGACATAAACAGAGGGTACCTGGAAAATGGGGACTCTCATGACACTGATTTTCTTTGTGTCACACAGAGCTGACCCAAAGCTCCCCAGTACCAGTGGAATGTTCCCGGAGAGCCCAGCAGTTTCTGGATCAGACCCCTCCATTACAGAAGGAGGTGGCTTCTCAGACCATACCTCCTCCAGGCTGTGAGTATTCATTACAGGGTGAGTCATCCTGAGGTCTCTTATAATGCTTCAGGAGCGTCACAATGGCATCATGACCTAAGAAAGAAAGAGGAAATATAAGGATTTGCAGGTAAACTCAGTAGCCTTTTTTTTTTTTTTTTAATGGATTTATACAAAATTAGGAGATTATTAGAAAAATGTACAATGTGCCTATAAAACACCTAAAGAAATACACATCAGTGCTAATCAGAAACATACTATGATTTTAATTAAAGAATTATGGGGAAACACCTGTCAGTAAAAGCAAGCATGCTCTTTTAATGGGTCCAACTAATACTAACATGTGATAAATGGCAACAGAAAAAAAGGAAAAACAGTGCCTAAAAATACTTCCTGTTTGGTGTCCTAAGCCAGACAAGTTGTGCACACCGTGTGGCTGCGGGCAGTTGCCAAACTCATCCCTCTCCTTTGCAAGGGCCCAGGAGAGAGCAGTGAATGCACAACGTCCTCACTCCTTCAGATGCTTGATGCACAAAGTTCTGCTTGCCAAAACTCAAAATTCTTTTCAAAACCTTTCAAAGATGAGTTTTCCCTGAGTAATTTCATAGAGAGTGTTTTGCCAGTATGAGTTTTTTGCCAGGCCCTGGAAAAGCACTGCTGTACTGTGTTACAGTCATTCGCAGAACAAACGGCCCCTGGAGGAGTGGGGAATGTCCCAGAACACGTGGAGTTAAAAACAAGGCAAAAACCAACTCAGTGCTTTATGTGTAGGACAGTAAAACAGGAACCATGGAAAATGTCTTGCTCTGATCCATGTGTGCAGGAATTTAACGTTGCTAGCTGTGACTCATTGCTCCTTGGAATGCCTCCCCAGGAATAAAATTAAAACCCGTGCACACACCAGAGGGGAAATAGACTCTTCTGAACAGGCTGTGTGTTTTCTAGTTCAGCAGCATGTAAATACTCCTGTCCTTGAGTCTGTGTTGAATTAAACTGATGTTTAACAGAGTAGCTGAGAAGATCAGTGAAAGGGCTGGTTTTCATATGCCTTCGTGCCAGGAGCTGGAAAGCAGATGGTGAGGGCTCTCAGTCTATGGAGACTGAGGGGTTATTTTGTAGTGTTACGTCCTCCCTGGGCTGTTCTCTCCTTCCTGTATGGTTCCTATGGATTTTTGTAGCAGAAAGTAGAAAACTGAAATACCTTTCTCATACGCCCACATCAAACAGGTCTGCTCATCCTTTTCCCCACTGGACCTGCTGGGATCACAAGCGACCAGATTCATATCGGCCCCGTTATCCAGCAAAAACTGCACAAGTCGAATATGGCCATGGTAGCAGGCACAGTGTAATCCTGGAACATCAGAGAAGGCTGGTGAGCACAGCTGTCAGAACATCATCGTAGGACTGGCAGCAAATTGATCTCTTCAATAAAGGAATATATTATCAAACAAAATACCCGAGGCAAGAGGTGAAAATAAAACACTGAAGTTGCAAGAGCCAATCTATAGTCTTCTACCTCCTGCACAACGTGTCAGCATTTGCTCTGCACCACCTGCAAATGGCATGTAACAGCTCTGTAGGTGAGGAAAAGCAGCAGACACAGCAGCAGCTCCTCTCCTCCCCGGAGGTGTGCAGTCCCTCAGACACCACGTCCTGTTTGACCAGTCCTGGCAGAATCACACTGGGTCCATTCTTAGAAACACTTAGAATTCGTTTACACCAGGTTCCATCACTCAAGTGGAAGCTAATGAGCCTGAGACATCCTCACTGTATGCTTATCACTTCTATGCCTGCCTGCAAGCCTATCTCAAAAAAGTTGAGACCTGTCTGAAAGGTAATTGGATGCTGATCATTGAGTTACCCAGGGAATTACCCCCGAAATCCTGATCATGTATGGCTTCCAAATTTTGTGATGCTGGTATATATGCTCAGACACAATAAGTATGATGGTGTTACCTGTGTGTCCATCTCGTCCCTGATGATTGATGCTTACAACATTCTGGTCAAGAAGATATTTTACAAGTTCTATGTTCTTTCCATAGGTGCAAGCACTGCAAAAATCAAGGGAAAAGTGAATGCTGTAGTCCATAAAAGACAAATACTTTGGGTAGCCAAGAATTACACAGAAATAAAAATGTAGTCAAAGGATCTTTAGAAATGTGCAAATGCATGATCCACCCTAGCACACTCATTTCTATTGTTTCAGAAACATCTTAATTATTCATTTTGCAAAGCTATGGAAAGTTAATACAGTCCAAAGAGCAAACTGTGCTCTGCTGCCTCATCTCTGAGTTAGAACATCTAGACCCCAGCGGGTTCCTGGGCAGAACAGGCTCCGAGCTCAGCTGCCACACGGGACAGGACGAGGAGCCATTGTTCATCCAGGTGCTGACAAACCCGGTGCCTTTCCTGCCTCTCACTGGCTCTTTCTCTCCCCACTCATTGGTCCCACCTCTCACTCCATGCCCTCTGCTCTCTCTCCAGACACCAGCTGGGCTCCATGTTGAGCTCACAGCTCGCCTTGTCCCTCACCCGGCCACCGTGGGACTGGTCACTTTGGGTGCTGCCATGCACGGATGCATAACTGGGACTCTGTGGAGTACGGTGCTTAAACATCTCACCTGTGGAAAGCTGTTTCACTGAATATGTTTTCTTTAGTGAGACTTTCTGTTCCTGAGAGCTGAATGATTTCCTTGACAACCTCAAACTTCCCGTTGTAGCACGCGCTGAAGATGAAGTCAGTAAAGAGTCATTAACATCACCAGCTTTCTAATCGGGTGCAAACCATGTAAGCCAGAGCTGCCCCACAGGACTCACAGGTGCAAAGGTGTGTCTCCATAGATATTCACCACGTGGGGCTGAACCTCAAAGCTGCTCTGCAGCAGGAACTTTACAATTTCATGGTGTCCAAATCGAGAGCAGAAGTGCAGAGGGACGTGGTCCTCGTTGTCCTGAGCGTTCACTGCCATTTGACCCAGAGAGAGACCACAGGAAGGATTTTATACTCAACATAGCTTGTTTTGGACATTTCGTAACGCTTTAGGTGTTGTGCCTACATATTTTGGAATCTCTTGCTAAAATATTTGTGGTCCTATTTCTTTAAAATTGAAGCTCCTCTGAGCTTTCACGTATCAAACCCACGTTACTCAGTGCCACTCAGCACACTGAGGAGACAGCTTTTTGGGCTTGGGGCATTACTGCTGTCTTCCAGTAGCAGACATGTAGACTGTTTTGATGTAGCTTTCTGTGAGTGGATCCTGAGTTACAAATGACCCTTAGAAAGACCAATTGCTGTCAGTATGGCACTGTGTGAAGCAAAAGTACATCATTAGAGAAGGTAAGAAAGCAACCCACTGAGTTACTCTGAATGTGTGGAGCAAGGGCTATTAATTACAAATACTATGAACACACTTCAGTGTTGCGAAAGGAAAATTCAGCTGGCTTTAAGGTTTATGTCAGCTCCCCTGAGCAGCAGGATCAAGGATTCTTGATACAGTTAGACAGTGCCAAAAAAGAAATTTAAAAAAAGAAAAAGGAGACACAATAAGGATGGATTTTTCATAGTCAGTACTGAAATATATATACAGAAAAGGAAAGAAAGGAAGAGGAGAATTCATTCAAAACTCTGGGTTTCCAATGTTTTCATTTTGCTCAGTGTCTCCTTTCACCTGCAAGGATGCTACACATATTTAGGAGATGGAAGCCTTCTTTGACATGACATGAAACTATGTAAGAGAATGGGCAAAATTCGAGCCATGGTATATTACTGTTGGGTGGGAGAGGTGTTTGTCACTCTTGGTTCAATGTAATTGCATGTGGGAAACAATGTGTGACACAAAGGCCTTGTTATTTTTAAGAGATTTGCCCTTCCAGTGTTTTATGTCACAAAATCATGTATCATGTGTGTGGCATGCAGCTTATAAAGATCTAAACAATAAAAGTATTTTTTTCTAAATTTATGAAGACCACTTCTAGTAGCTTCCTACTCACAAAAACAGTTGCTTTAAACAACATAAAACAGCACAAGATTAAAAGCTAAAGAAAACTGAAGGGAGTGAATTTGAAACACCTCTCCAATAAGCCTGTGTGCACCAAGGGTTTGACTCTGGGGTGACTGCTGAAACGCCTGGCTGGCTCGTATTCTGAGACACCTTGGGTTAAACAGTGAGGGTGTTGTAGGATAGACAATGTTAGCAAGCAATGAAGGAATTTTTAGAAATTCATTGATCCACCTGGCTTTCAGTAATACCAAAATTCTCTCTTGAAGATTCGGGTCCTGGTTCAGAGAGCCCCTGGAAGCCTGTCAGGGTCAGTGGTGCTCCAGCTGGCATGCAGGAGCAGAGTCTCACTCCCCAAACCCCCCAGACCTGACTGCTGGTGTTTCTGTGCAGCAAATGCTGATACTGCACACTTATCATCAACACCTATTTAAAAATGATTCTGTGATAGACCAACATAAACCAAACAATTCTTGGGAGGAGTTATGATCAGTGGGCAGCATGAGCCTGTGGCTGCTGTATTTCTGTGTATGTTTGAAGAGAGAACAGCCACGACTGGCTGATATCAGCACCAACAGGACTGACAAATCCACCCGCTCTGTGCAACCTTCAGTTCTCAGGTCAGTCTAGCACCGGATCTTTGAGGCAGTTCACAAGAAATTAAAAGACTACTAAGGAACAATCTGTCCCAGACTTGTACCACAGAGACTTTTCAGCACAGCATCTCAGGATCTATCCTATAACTGAGCCTCCCTGGGACAAAGGGTAAACCAAACACATCCCGAGGTTCTGCCTTCTCGTAATTTTCTGTGAGAATAAAGAAGAATGAGAATAAACCGCGATCTACAAACCTTCTGAAGTAATGCTGAATGCTCACAGAAATGGACAGTCCTTTAAAATGAGCTGGACTTACAGCTTCACTGATGTTTAGTGACAGACACTTACAAAGATAAATTCTGTTTCAGACCAAAAAAAAAGAATAAAAGGAATTCCTGTAACTTACATTAAGCTTGTGGCCTGCAAATTTCATTAACTGCTCCCACTAAACTTCCTAGCTGTCTTATATTAAAAGGACAACAGAAAAGTAAATTGTTTTATTTCTCTATCCTAAAATAATTTCTTCACTTTACAGATTGATGTGACATGTTAGCCTTTACTTTTTATTATGATGCGGCACCAGACACAGATTCGTTCTGAAGCACAATAAATAAGAGGGGAATAAATGTCAAAGTTTATTAATAATAAATGTCAGCATTTCAGAATATGTACCCACAGAACAGCCTGAAGGACATCAGGGGCCTCAGGGCCATGAGCTTCTACAACACAAGGTGTAAGGGGGAGGAACCAGAAAGGAAATATGTGTCTTCTCTTTTGTTTGTGCAGTTGGAAATGATGTCAAATACTTGGAAGTCATTTTCTTCTCCTCTGGAAGGATATACAACTACAATATGGGATGGTGGCATGTGTTTTAATTGATAGCTTTCTGATTTCTACATGAAACATGACAGCCAAACTGGAATTTTATCTTAAAAAGGGCAAGTTCAGAGTCAGAACAAAACCGAATCAGTCAAAAACACTTCAGAAGATAGCTGTGGCAAGAAAAGTACATCATATTGCTTCAGGAATTACTTAGGAAGAGTGCAGGAGGAGAGTTCTTCAAACTGAAATTTTAAAGAATTTTATATTAAATTAAGGATAGATAGTACAACTGCCATAGTAGTGAGAGTCTAAGAATCGAGGGTTCCTTACTCTATGCTCTGCCTACTTCTACACTCAAGCACTTAGGAAGCAATTATTTCCATGCCCTCCCCAATTTCAATGAAATGGAACATAAAAAAGAAATAGAGCATACTGACAATTTTAAATTATCATTAGTTCTTAACCACCCCCCCACCTTTCATTGGCCCATTCTTTTTTCTGATGGAGTGTTGGGGCACTATTAGAAGTGTGGCCATAAAATAAGGACAGCTGATAACACACAACAGCCAGAACCCCACAGCTCTCCGTTTTCAGTAAATCAAGTCTACCTTCCTTCATGTAAGTGGCAGGTGAGGCTGAGAAACAAACAATTGGCTGACTTGGACTTTGGTTCAGAAGTCAGCCCTCCTGAGACCCAGACATGACTACCTAGAGGACTTAGCAGCTTGACAACACACCTCACAAGGTCAAGGCCATGACCAGACAACAGCTACAACCAGCAGGTCGCCTGGATCTAAAATGTGCTGCTGAACATTCTTTCTTAGACACTATATAGAGAAAAGCTGGGTGTGGACATGAGCACAGTGAGGCTACAAAAACAGCAAGGAGGATGGAGAGGGAGTTTAGTATGACAAAGTGAGGAAAGAGAATGGCTATTTAGGAATACTGATGGTTTCTCTTCCTTCTCCTCTTGTCTTTAAAGAGGAAACCCTTCTCTTCATTTTCTTTATTACAATTAGCCTAGAAAAAATATTCACCTGATTCCAAGAATGAGTCAAAAACTGAGGTGACACCTTGCCCCCCAGTTATTGCTCCATTCTACCATTTAGAAGTTCTAGGTATAAAATTGGATTTCCTGACAGAATGCATAGCACAAGTTGGTAGCCAGCATGCAAAAAAATCTCCAGGAGTCTGGAAGATGTGAAAAAAGAAAGAAGGAGCTAGAAGTTAAAAACAGAAATGAGAAATTCCTTGCTAAATCAGTTTGTAAAAATCTTAAGCTCGTTAAGGTGCTTTAAGTAATAGCAGCTTGTAAGGGCTTCCTAGTACTTGAGATATAGTAATGATCTCAAAGTGAAGCTTGGAGCTTAAAAGGAATCTCATCCAAGGCCCCAAAAAATGTGCCTGGAAGTCCTTCCATGATTTCTGAAAAAGACACAGAAGCAACTTAGTCCTTCCCTACAGTGTTTATGTTAAAGCAAATGATGAGTTTAGCAGCTGGATAACCAACTATACTTGTAACACTTTGGTTGTATACACACACACATGTAAAACACAAATATCTGTGATGATAGATACATGGGCAGTATATTCCTTTTGTATGTTTTTCTTATATGTTGTGGCTGGGTTGAAGAAGAGCTGTGGCTGTGTTGTTAGACTGCAAATGTTGCTCCATTTCAGCAGCATTCTGACCTTTTCAGGCTGAGCTGGTAGTAACTGTTTTTTCTCCAGTTGCCATGGCCTCAGAGCCGATCAACGAGTCAGGTTGTGTTAAAAGAAATAGTGCAAGTTTATGACACCAATTACTGGTCTGCACATAATGCTGCTAAAATTTCTTCAGGTTATTTTACTAATTACTTTCATGCCTAGGCACTTAAGAGTTGTTTCTCAGCTGCTGTATTTATACCAAGTTTCAAAGTGTGCTACTTTGCGAGTAAAAGACTTTTTGCTTCCAGCCTCCCTTTTACTTCTTCTGATGCTGAAGATTCTAATTTTAAAGAAAAGAATCAGAAATAGTGTCCCAGATTCTTTTCCTTCTGGAATAAACTATGTAACTGACAGTGAACCTCCCCCTGCCTTGCTGTGGGGAGTGAACGTCTCCTCCTCTCCCCCTCTTTGTGAGGATCACCCAGCTCAGCGCACACGTCAGGACTGGCACAACAAGAGCTCACTACTGAAAAAAGCACTTTACAAACATGAGTCAGGCTCTTTCCTCCACACACTTTTACTGTGTGAGCCTGATCCGTGTAGTGTGGGTGAGACTCGGAGGATACGGTGAATTTGTACTGTTAAAATACAGCAGAGACAAGGGAACTGGGGAGGTACAGCCTTGGTGTCAAGGTGGCTGGGAAAAGAGGATGTGTTTGGCACCACTGGCCACACTGTGCAGGGGAGAAGCCTCGGGGGCTCCCGTCCCCACTTCTACAGGAGTGACAGTGCTTTGCAGGGTCAGCACCCAGGACTGTGGGCTGGAGAACACAGAACTTGTGCACAATGACCACTCAGCTGTCCTCTCCTGACACCAGCTAGCGGTGCCAGTTGGGTATTGGACCAGCTGAGGTGAGGAAAGAACAAGCTGCTTTGAGCAACCTGGTCTAGAAAGAGGTGTCCCTGCCCATGGCAGGGGGGTTGCAACTAGATGATCTTTAAGGTCTCTTCCAACCCAAACCACTCTTATTCTATGAATTTCACATGCTTTTCCAAAGTGGGTATCCAGCACCCCTTTAAACCTTCCCCTGCTGTGCTCTACTGCTTTTAACTCACAACCAGCTGTGTGCATAGGCTGGACCCAGACATCAAACAGGATACTGGATCGAGAAGCAGCAGCTGAAGAACTGTGATAAATTCTTGTTTTTCTATACCATGCAGGATTCTTGCAGTAAATCTTTGTTTCTTGTTTTCCCAGTTCTGCTTTTCCAAGAGCAAATTGTGATATCCCCAGGCAAAATCCCAACCTCACTGAAATTGGTGTAATTTTTGCCATAGACCTCAGGGGAACCGAGACTTTCCCTTGTATATTGTGGCTATAAGTTAACAAGAGTAATTATGCAGACCAAAGATGTATTAAAGTGCTGTACTTTTGTAAGTAATATGCTGCTCCTTTTCAAAAACCTTTTATTTCTCTTATTCTGGGGATAAGAAGTTAATTTCCAAATAATTTCAATGTGGCTTAGTATTTAAGAATCTCCATGCTAGTAATCATAATACACATAAAATTTGACCTCTAAGTGTTATTGAGGTCAGTTGATAGACTTTGCAGGATGTGCCACGTGCCTGCAGTGGAAGTGTCCCAGTGCTGGGAAGGTGAGGCTGGTGTGGCACACGTTTGGTGCCTGATCCATCACTGACACAGGAGCAGAAGAGTGAGTGCAGGGGTTCA